AGACGGGGTTTCACCATGTTGGTCAGGCTGGTCTCGAGCTCCTGACCTCATGATCCACCTGCTGGGATTACAGGCGTGAGCCACTGCGCCTGGCCTATCAGTGTTTTCTTTTAGGGATCATGTTTTTGGTATCCTCTTTTAAAAATACTTACCTGCGTCAAGGTCATTAAGATTTTCTTATTTCAGAAGTTCTACAGTTTTGGCTTTACCGTGTAGGTCTGTATTCCATTGCCAAGTTGACATTTGTACCGGGTATACGGTAAAGTAGAGGCAGAGGCTTTTGTAGTTTTAAATTTTTTCATCTGGATATTCAACTGTTTCAGCACCATTTGTTGAAGAGAATATTCTTTCTCCCTTGAATTACCTTGGCAACTTTGTAAAAAAAAACATGTATCTAGTTGAGTCTATTCCTAGACTCTGTGTTCTGTACCTCTACAACTGCCAACATCACACTGTCCTGGTTACTAAAGCTTTGTATTAAGCCTTGAAATTAGACAATGAAAGTCTTCCAATTTTCTCTTTTCCAAAATGTTTTGGCTCTTCCGGATTGTTTGATTCCCCTTGGGGATTTTTTTTTTTTTTTTTTTTTTTTAGTTTTTTTTTTTTTGCCGAGGCTGGAGTGCAATGGCATAATCTCGGCTAACTGCAACCTCTGCCTCCTGGATTCAAGCGATTCTCCTGCCTCAGCTTTCTGAGTAGCTGGGATTACAGGCATGCGCCACCACGCCTGGCTAATTTTGTATTTTTAGGAGACACGGGGTTTCTCCATGTGGGTCAGGCTGGTCTTGAACTCCAGACCTCAGGTGATCCACCTGCCTCAGCCTCCCAAAGAACTGGGATTACAGGTGTGGGCCAACATGCCCAGCTAGACATTATTTATTTATTTATTTATTTAGTCATTAGACAGAATCTCACTCTGTCTTGCCCAGGCTGGAGTGCGGTGGCATGATCTCAGCTCACTGCAGCCTCAGCCATCCAAGTTCAAGTGATTCTCCTGTCTCAGCCTTCTGAGTAGCTGGGACTGCAAGCATGTGCCACCACACCTGGCTAATTTTGTATTTTTAGTAGAGACAGGGTTTCACCATGTTGGCCAGGCTGGTCTCAAACTCCTGACCTCAGATGATCCACCCAACTAATTTTTTGTATTTTTAGTAGAGACAGGGTTTCTTCATGTTGGTCAAGCTGGTCTCGAACTCCTGACCTCAGGTGATCCGACCACCCGGACTCCCACAGTGCTGGGATTATAGGTGTAAGCTGCCACACCCGGCCAAAATTTTAGAATCATTTTGTCAAAAACTGAAGTTTCCAGAAACAAACAAAAGGTT